GCTCTGCATAGTCATAGTAATGAACAATTTAGACTGCCATGATTTAATATATGAAAAGTCATATCCAAAAAAAAAAAAGACTAAAACTGTAAAAGCTGCTTAAAATTTTAAAAAAGTTAAATATATTTTTAATTGTCTGCAAAATGTTTTTTAGAAAATGTAGCTAACAATTATACATTGTTAACTCAAAAATCACGATTTTGGATTTATGACGATTTTGCATAAGTAACTTGCAAATTTTGAAAATAACGGTAATTCTTTGATTAGACCTCGCAGATATACATACGATTAATGCCATCAATTACATACATACAATGCAGTATGCTTGTATTTACTAAGATTTTTCTCATATGAATAGGTCTGTCTCACTGGAAATAATTCCATGGGGAGGTGGTAGCGAGAACATCTAAAACAATAGCATATCCTGTTAAAAATTTCCCAACTGTGCTGTGTTGTTACGCTTTTTGTGTTCATAGCGTTCTTTTGTTTGGCCACCAGAGATACAGTGAAGGACAATTTTCCGTTATGCTACAAACTAGCAAAAGGACAGGGAAAATCATATCCTTCACTATATCCAACTGGAAATGCAGTAAAAATGACGTAGAAATGAAATATGTTGTATGGTTTGTTACGAATGGGTGATATTTGAATATGAAGAATTTGTTGCAAGGCTATTATCCATTTGAAGTAAAAAGTAAATATAGAAAAAAGTTAGGGAGGCAAACTGAAAAAAAAGCCAAAATATGAACATAATTAAAATTGTATTATATTATAAAATTTAGCCAGGGGTGCTACCTGAGTGGCGGATAATGTCCATCCATGAACTTTATCTGACCCCTTTTAGGAGGAGGATGTTAATTACAATATGTTACATTTCGGGTTTCTTATTTTGTGGTTGTTTTAGAAGTAGTGATGTGTCTTCAGATATGGACGTAATTTGTGATCCTTAAAATTACAATTATCTTTGCAATTATTTGAAGCGAATATGGGATGTTGCCAGTACAACAATTTTCGTTGACATCGTGTTCATTGATTTTGCACTTCCTCTTTTTTCAATTTAATCATGCTTGGTGATATAATCTATAATTTTCTCATTTATTTTCAGATACGTGGAAGAACAACTTTCTTTGGCATAAATATTTATAACTAGAATATGCCCGCTAATTCGGTAACGGATGTGTGTGTTATTTAAACAAGTATAAATATTTTATATTCACAGAGAACTGCATATGTCAGAAGAGCTAATCAACATACACACTAATATTGACCTTTGTTATTTTATTTAAGCATTGGGTAGTGTTGAGATATGGAAGTATATCTCAACACTACCCACCAATTATCATCAACACAAATCAAGCTCTGTACTAATTTTAATATCATTTATTAGCTTTCGTGCTCGTGCTCTTTTGAAAACTATTTACAAATTTCATGATTCGACAAAGACATGGAAACCGTAAAGACTCGACAAAATGCATTTTGACAAAATATTTTATTACAAAAATATCCAGGGGGAATCAGGCATAATATTGTTCGCTCTGTTGTTATGATATCATAACAACAGAGGAAAAGCCATCTGTTGGAAATTGTTTACGTATCAAGTTTCGTATCTTTATACTTTTATGTCTTTGGATTCGAGCTCTATAGGTTCACCGAAATCTTAATTTTACCAATTTTCGTAACATTTATTGGGTTTATTTTAATCCAAAAAAAAAAATCATATTTCCCAATTTCAGGATTCCAGCCCGATCGACCCAAATTTAATTGTGCCAAATTTAAAATTCCATTTAAAAATTACTTTTCGTATACATGAGTAAAACAAAAACTTCCATTTTAAACAATTACTTTTCGTATACATGAATATACACGTTCAAAACCACCCCTATATCTCACCTTAACTCGCATTCCAAATTTCAAGTTTTAGGCTCTATCCGTTCACGAAATTGTACCAACTTTAGTACATTTAAGTAATTTTCGGATGTCCTTTATTTATTTATTTATTTTATACTAGCAAAGTGCCCGCTACTTCGTATACGGAAAGGGAAAACAAAAAAACATTTCGTATGGAAATCGTGAATACTGTATAATTTGTTGTACTAAACTTCTGAATTCCAACTCTATTTCTACATTTAATATCAAGTTTATTATCATTTAGTACCATTTTCCGAAATCTCTTTTTTATTTTACGTACAGGTTCCACATTTAGTTTCATTTTGCACTATTCGAACACATTTTTAAGACTACCTCCATACCATCACCACCACTAAATTTAGTACCAATTACAAAACCCCCTTGGTACTTCTTTCTAACTATCCGTTAGTGACCGACATTCAAAATTTTAGGTTTCCAGCTCTCTCCATTATTCAAATCCAAATTTTATGCATTTTCTAATCTATTTACTATTCGTACACATAAATTCGATGTTCCAAAGTTGTCGCCATAACTCAATATTACACTTTAACAATAATCTAAATTCCAAATATCTGTGTTCAACCAAATCAAAATTTAGTACCATTTAGTACTTTTCATACTCCTAAGTAAGAATTTCTAAAACTACTTCAATCCTACACTCTAACAGTAATCTTAATACGACCAAAGTCCAAACCGTACCAAATTTAGTACATTTCGTACTCATAAGTACAAATTTCCAAATGTACCTCAATCCTCCCTTCAAATAGTAAACGTAAGTCCAAATTTGAGCATTCCAGCTCTGTCTGTTTATAAAAAAAAAAAAACAAATTATACCAGATTTGGTACCATTCGTTCACTCAAGTCCACATTGTATCAAATTTTGTGCTTTTCGTTCCGATAAGTACGAATTTCCAAAACTACCTCAGTCATGCACTCCAATAATAACCTTAAGTGCACATTTAAGGATCCCAGCTCTATCCGTTCATGAACATCCTAATTGTATAAAAGTTAGTATCATTTATTACTTTACGTAGACGTTAGTACGAGTTTCAAAAACTTCTCAGTTTCACACTCCAAAACAATTTTTAATGACAAATTTTCTGGATCCCAGCCCTATCCGCTCACACAGATCCAAATTGTACCATATTTAGTACTTTTCGTACTTATGAGTTCGAATTTTTCAACACTGTCTCAATCCTGTACTCTAACAGTAATTATACCCTACACAACTATGTTGTCAGGGTATTATAGCTTTGTGCAGCACCAAGAGTTTGTAACGCCGCGAAATATTGGTCCTAGAGCCACCATTAAGTATACTGATCGTCATATCTCGACTAGCTGAGTCGATCTAGACATGTGTGTCCGTCCGTCCGTCCGCCTGTCCATTATAATATGTAAACACGATACAGGCCACAGTTATGGACCAATCTTCATGAAATTGTCTAAATATTTAGAGGTGCTTACGTATTCAAATATTATGTAGTAACCCATTAACACCCTAGAGGGCGCAAAAATTGCGCTGATCGCTTTGAAATTTTCTATGAGGATCCAGGTATGATCAAGGACAACGCCTGTAGTTTTCGGTGATCAGATAATAGAATTGGGATAAAGTGAACCGAAAACTTAATTTTTTGGGTTTTTTGAGTCGATCTATAGGCCACAATTGAAATCCGAACATAACAACACAACCCACGGTGAAGGTCAAGAGAGTGCAAATATTGCCCATGAATATAGAACCACACAAAGTTAGATTTTCGTGGAAGTTGTGTAGGGTATCATATGGTCGGCCCCGTCCGACAATACTGCTCCGCTCACTGGTTTTATTTTCAAAAAATACGTTTTCCATTTCTATCATTTTACTAAAATCGAAATTGTACTAATCTTAGTACCATTTAGTACACATAATTATGCATTTTTAAAACTAACTCCATGTCTCATCCTTCAATCCAATCCTTAATTTTAATTCAAAATTTTATGATTCCCGCTCACACAAAACGAATTGTACCATATTTAGTATCCATATCCATAGATACGTAATTCCTATACTACCTTAATTCTATAATCTTTCATTCCAAATTTATGTTTTTCATCTCTATCCGTTCACTCAAATCTAAATTGTACCAAATTTAGTACCATTTAGTACACGTATTATCAAAAATACCGAAATATCTCAATCGTGCACTCAAATTCAAAATTTCAGGATCTCAGCTCTATCCGTTCACAGAAATTGTACCAAATTTAGTTCCGTTTAGTACTTTTCGTACACATAAATACTAATATTTCCAAAGATGTGTCTATAGCCCAATCTTCAACAGTAATCTTACTTCCAAATTTCAGGTTTTCAGCACTATCCTTTCAAGCAAAATTCAAATTGTACTAAATTTAGTACCATTTTGTACATTTTACATAAATATGTACTAATTTCGTACCACTTCAATATCACTTCCCAACCTTTATTCCATATAAAATTTCAAGATTCTAGGTATGTATTTTCTATACATATACAATTAGAACTAAATTTAGTAAAGTTTAGTACTTTTCGTACACTTTTAGGTCGAATTTTCAAAAACCTGTTTGTACATCTATCTAACTTTCCATCAGTAACCCACATTCCAAATTTTAGAATTCTAGCTCTTCTCATTCGCCTAAAACAAGGGTACCATATTTGGTACATTTTAGTACCTTTCGTACCCTTCTAGTTCGAATTTCCAAAAACCCAGCCTTATCTCACGGCTACACACCAGCAACAACCCACACTCAAAATTTCAAGCTTCTAGCTTTAGCCGTTTCTCTGGTCGATGATCTGTCAGTCAGTCACTCACTCACTTAACACTGAGCTCTTTTATATATATATATATATATATCGGTACGCTAATAACTTTTTTGTGCTGATTTAAAAAAAGTGGTTGTATCTTAAAATGTACAAGACACAGTAGGAATTAACCTATTTTCTAAAGTTGAATACTGGTTTTATTCAGGTGATTTGTACCAAAAATTAGTTTGTATTTTAATGCATTTCAATTGGTATTCACACAACAACATTTACCTATTTCTCAGATATAGGGGTTACCAATGCATTTGTATCTACATACCTGTATGTGGGCACTGGATGGCCTTGAGCAATACACGGCAATGTTGTCTGACCATTGAGCACAACATGACGCATCGAGTGTTTTTCAACATTAATGCGAGGCTGTACCATGCCTTTGGGCTCAGTAACAATTATACGCCCGGGATAAGTCGATGCTTGAACTTCGCCTATAAAGAAGATGAAAAGAAAAATTACAATATTACAATAGACTTATATTTATAATTAGAGAATATTTTTAAACTGATTCTTATTTCTTTTGGACCTTATGGGGTGTTTAACAGAAAAATTAATTAAATGTTTGTTATTCAATTTTGTTCACAATAAATGTATTGAGTCAATAATAAGAAATAATTTTAATTTGAGTATATCATCAACAATGTTGTGTTGGATTGGGGCTATTTTAAAACATTAACATATATTGAATAATTTCGGGGAAAAATCACTAGAAAACCGATATGCCAAATTAAACATAGAGCTATATTGATCATTATACCCTTCACCACACTGTGGTACAGGGTATTATGTCTTTGTGCATATGTTTGTAACAGGCAAAAATAATAGAGATAGACCCATGCACAGTTGTCCCAATTCAAATTTTTTTGGCCAAAATTATTTAATACAACATAATGTATACTTTTCGTTTATAAATAGATTAATATTTATTATAATAATATTAATATTTATTGCAAATCCGTTAAAACGCGTTTCTGCAATCATAAGGTACAATATAGTACTATTTATTAGGTTTTTAGATATGCAAAGGCATACAAAATGTTAGGGTACAAAATGTGATGTTTTAGTACAAACATGAGTTGTAAAACAAAATAAAATGCGGTAAACATGACTTAAAACAGGCTTAAGAAGGTTGTTTTATACTATTAAGCAAATAAAATAAAAGAACTCTATTAGTTTTAAATTAATTAATTATTGAATATATGTAGATATTTCGTTTTCCAGAACTATATTTTCATCGCCATATTCTTCTTCGAATTCTTCATCTGTTGTTTCATCACAATCAGTATCATTAGCGGGCCGTAATTCATCGTTTAGTTCACAAACTAACAATTCGATTACTTCAGATGGCAGGTTTAACCGTTTTCTTTCTTGTAAGCGGGCGTTTAGGCGTATAGATGATATAAGTGGATCAGATGTATCCAATGCTCTATTAAATACGTCTGTGAGATTATTGACATGACTACTGTTCCTAGCGTGTAATAATCTGTCATTTTTATATATTTTGTTTCTGCATTCAGCAGCATCCTCTCCAAAATATCCAACTGGCAACACAACATTCTGCATTATTTGCTTAGAATGAATCAAGACCTTGTGCACTGTTGGTGTCATCGCTACCCAAGGATAATGGCCCTGAATATATTTAGCTGTTTCGAAACAGTATTTTTCAAATTTTTCCAAATCAAGGGGAAATTGACATGTTAAACATACAAGAATTATATGAAGGCGGTAAACAAGCTCTTCTTTAATTCCGATAATTTGAGCAAACTTCTGGTAACTACCAAAAGCACGACGGGATGTGTTACCATCATTAGTGGAACCAAAACCGGGGCAACTGTGCGACGTTTTTATACTAAAATTGATTACTAGGTTAATCAAATGTCCCAAAATATCAATTGAAATGTATTTTCGCCAAAAACAGCGAAAATTAATTAAATAGTGAGGCGCCGTTGTGGGAGGTCTTAACCAAAATATTTGGTACAAACAGTTTATACTTTCCATGAAGTCAAAATGCAAAGTTAGAGCCGAATCGGTTAAATAATATCGCTAAAATCTTTAAAATATCTTAAATCGGACGGTACGGCTATGTCACAGTGTGGGCCAATTTTCAAAAAATGTTGCAGAAATGTTTTTTATACTATTAAAACCTTAAATATCAATTTTAAGAAAAATCGGATGAAACTTTGTCTTTATCCCACATTTTCAGTTCAATACTATATACAATAAAAACATCAATTTATAAAAAATTTCACTCAACTTAAAGTAGAAAAATACATTTTTTTCTAAAAAAGGCAAAATAAGGCAAAATATTTCATCTGAATATGATAGTACATACCCCTGCCAGCTTCCAAAAATTTTTTGGAGGAGACGATATTTTTACATTTTTTCTAAAGTTTAAGAAGATTTCAAAAATATTTGTAAAAAATAATTTTCAATATACACACAAACTTTTATCTCCCTACCCAGATATTACAACTTTCTTCGTTCTTTCTTTATATATTATGAAAGCACTTATTATCAGCTTCCAGATTCATAATAACTTTGGTCTGAATTTCGTATACCCATTCGACCACACAGCACACCAAAAAGTATATATTTTACAGCACACAGTCTGTTCTATTTTTTATACAAAAAATTTTCAACTTTAGCATTACACCAACGAGCGGCTATTAATGGTATTTAGAAAAACCAATTATTTTCGGATGGTTTGAAGTGTTTTTTATTATTCCGCGCAAAAAAATTATAAAAATATGAAACTTCAAAAAAATAATTTTGGCCAAAAATTTTGTGATTGCGACAACTGTCATATATATTTTCGTCCGATTTAAGATAAATGGTGTAACAAAGTCCCTATATATTTTTCGATTTGCACGAAATTTGGCATAGTGAAATTAATTAGGTCTAAAATGATGTGTGTTAAGTTTCCTGAAAATCGGTTCATATTTAGATATAGATCCCATATATATTTTCGTCCGATTTAAGATAAATGGTGTAACAAAGTCCCTATATATTTTTCGATTTGCACGAAATTTGGCATATCGTAATTAATTAAGTCTAGAATAGTGCACGTGAAAATCGGTTTGGATGTACATATAGCTCCTATATAAATTTTCATCCGATTTAATGTAAATGGTGTACCAAAGCCCTTTAACATATTTCGATTTGCATAAAATTTGGCATAGTGTACTGAAATGAGTCTGGAGTGATGTGTGTAAAGTTTCCTGAAAGTCGGTTCAGATTTATATATAGATCCTGTTTATTTTTTCTTCCTATTTTATGTAAATTGTGCACTAAAGACCCCAAATTGACACAAATTTTGAACAACGTACTAAAGTTTTGAAATGTGGAAAATTTTGAAATCGGTTCAGATTTGGATAGAGCTTCTATATATATTTTCTCCCTAGTTTTGGTAATTTTGTCCCATTGTAAGAAACAACCCTATATCTGAACAAATGAAAAATTTAGTATAGGTTGCAAAATTCGACGTCTGTTAGCATTCATCTGTTGAATATATCCAAAGTGGTGAAGGGCATCATATAGTCGGCCCCGCCTGACTTTACAACTTTCCTTACTGGTTTTTTGTATAGAGCCTTCTGTGATAAAACCCTCAAAATACCAAAAATTTGTATTTACCGTTTAAAGGGAACTATACCAAATTGTAAATATATATTGAAAACTTTTGTGTGGAAGATTTGAGAGCCCATGAGAACATAAAAAATGAAATTTTAAGTCTAGCTCAAAACCCACCAAAATACCAAATACCAAACAATGCCGCTCTACAGAGGCTACACGGAAACTTTAACCAATGTCTAAACTTCCCCATAAGTAGCTAAATTAGTTACGTAGTTTTATTTGAGTGCAACCAAAAAAGTGGACCAATATATTTCATGGAGTCTCAGTTGTGAATATTTCTAGGTTTTATAAACGGAATTGTAAATTTAACAGACACTACACGTTGTGGCGGAGGTTAAGAAAATCAGGTAAATATTTCTAAAACTTGGTGTTTAGAGTAATTCATCATACTTTAAGAATTGAAATGAATTTAAAAAAAAAAACCAAACAAAATTAATTTCCATTGTAGTGAAATTATTTAAATTTACCTCAATGATCTTTTAACTCGATACACGATAGAATCTTCACAACTCTAAATAAATCACTGAATATGTAAGTTTGAATACCGAATTGATATCTTTGGTTTATTCTCAACGGCCTAAATTCCGTAAGTAATCCACTTTAAGGATCTGAGTCCTATTCCTAGCCCATTTTTCTATTAGTAGTTCAGTAGGTATATTCTGTAACTTTTAACAAAATTCGATATTGTTTAAATTTCTGTTGTTATTGTAAAAATAATAAAAAAAAAATAAAACCAGTGAGCGGAGCAGTGTAATCGGACGGGGCCGACCATACGATACCCTACACAACTATCACAGAACTCTATCATTTTGCGGATTTTTATTCCGAACCTGGGCAATATTTCGTGCTAGTTGCACCATCTTTCCCGATTAGAGGTCAACAGCACCTCTTCCTTACACTGACATATTCTCCGAATATTACCAATATTCAGTACAGCCCTTCTAATTACTTGTCGACATTCCCTTCACCGTGGGTTGTGTAATTGTAGCCTAAAATAAGTTTTCGGTCCACTTCATCCCAAAATTATTATCTGATCATCACCGAAAATTATAGGCGTTGTCCTTGACCATAACTGAAACCTCATGGAACTTTTCAAAGCGATCCGCGCTATATTTCTGCCTTCTAGTGTGGTAATGGTTTATTAAATAATGTCTGAATACGTAAGTACTTGTAAATATTTACGTGTAACTCCCACATCCGAGTAGATACGACAATATAATTGGTCTCCACTCCTCTTGGATATACTATCAACTTCTCGGTTCTATGTCCCTCAGGAGTAAATATATACGCTGTATAATACAAATTTTGTCATTTTTCACACAAAAGTCAGGGTCCATTTGACCCGTTAAATATTGACCAATCTTTATCAAAACAGGCATACTTGTTCTTTGGCCCAATCCCCTTCTCCATGTTTGGGCCATAATTGCGGCCTCTGGAGCGACCAGAAAAACCGACAAAAATTAAGTATTTGATCCATTTCATCCCCTAAATATTAACCGATCTTTACCAAAAACAATAGGGGTCTTCATTGGGCCGAACAATTCCCACATGCAAAATTTCGTAAAGATTGGTTCATAACTGTGGCCTGTATCGTGTTTACAAATTATAATTGACGGACGGACACACATGTCTAGATCGACTCAGATAGTAGAGATATGACGGTCGGTGTACTTAAAGGTGGGTCTAGGACCAACATTTCGCGGCGTTACAAACTCTGCTGCACAAAAGCTATAATACCCTGACAACATAGTTGTGTAGAGTATAATAAACAATATCGAATGTTGTTAAAAAGTTACGGAAT